TCAGCAGGAGCTCAACAGCAACATGCAGCTTCTCCATTGACTTTTACATGCACACTGTAGGGACCCCTAAACAAAGAGCAACCGCAGCCTGATGGAGCAAGCACCTCCCAACAACCAGAAGCCCCTGTAAAGGATTCTGCAGGAGTGAAGATGGGGAAAATGCTGCAACATCCTCATAATAGCAGTATTTGTGCAGCAAAAGCAAGCTGGATAGACACACTATCACTTTAAGAACCGAGCAAAGTTTGTTCTACATCTAAATTTACTATGTTGACAGCTGTTACTCCTGAGTTTCTAGAGCTGAAAGCTGTCTCTTTTAGACCAGAAAGCAGGTGAACCCTCCTTGCCCAGGCACTGCTGAGACTCACGTCCCAGCTGTGCTCCTCCATTCACATGCCTCTCCTGGGCTGCAGGAGGCCAGGCTGAAGGGACTTTCCCTTATCGAATGTCTCTAGCTGGAACACAAAGCCAAACAGTTACCCAGGTCCCCAAAACAGCCTCGCTGCAAAGCCCTTGAAGTTTATATTCCCACTGAGCAGGAATTAAAGCAAACCACCACGTGTCTGACAACACTTACACACTACAGGCTCCTCTCTAAACAGGCCTCACGACTTTTGCCAATGAGCCATAAAAATAAAGTTTGTTTTCATGAGATAGCAAAGTCCTAGAAATGGGAACCACCCACTGGAAAAGTGTATTATCTTGGTCCTTTTTAAAAGCACAGTATTTCTTAGACAAGAAAAGACAATCAATCCATCTGTCAACTATGCTTAGTCTGTCCCAACTGGAAAAAACCCTTCTGTTATCAGAGCAAGTGTTCTGACCACAGCTTCCAAACAACTCTGCTTTGAGGCTCCAAGGAGCTGATTACATTCTAGCTGAGGGACAAAACCATGCCTCCCTGGGGCTCAAACCCCGCATCCAAGCCTCAGATAACTTCATATCCACTGAAGGACTCTCACCTCCTCCAGGCACACCCATCCCACGGGAGCACCCAGGCTATCCCAGCTCCCTCAGACACCAGCCTTGCTGCCCCGTTTGCCAGAGTCCTAACGGCCGAGGCAAGTCAAGATATGAGTGCCAAAAACAGGGACTAGAAAACTTCTTGCTCAACCCCAAGTCAAAGGTCAGCTGCAGACGTCATTTAAAAAATCCAGTAACATCTCCAGCATGTCAGGAATGATTTTTTTTATGCTGTTCTACACAAGAAACGTGAGTCTGTGTTCACTGGACATTCACATCCAGTGTCTTCTAAACCCAAGCTGGCTTTATTCAGTCAGGCAGCAGGGCTCCCTGCTGAGGATGAACTTATGGTTCATGGCAACATCTGAGATTTGGAATCAAAAAACCAAGCTTATGCAATAATTTGGATTTTTTTTTTTAACTTGGTAAAAGGGAGAAGTCTGTACACTCCTAAGACAAAAGGTCATGGCAACATCTGAGATTTGGAATCAAAAAACCAAGCTTATGCAATAATTTGGATTTTTTTTTTTTAACTTGGTAAAAGGAAAGGGAGAAGTCTGTACACTCCTAAAACAAAAGGTTCACCCTGATGCTCTCCAGCACAATGGCACATTGTGAGCCCCACAAGGGCTCATCTGCCGTCTGCTTAACTTGTTCTAATTAATGCAGAACCTCCCTACAAGCTGTCTCACAGACATACCACAAACCCAAATTAAAGTAGCTCACACAAGTCCATTCCCAGCAAGCTTTCCTGATTAAACAGACAGCCCTATTATTACCCGATTCCCTATTAAGTTGCACCAACTGCACAAACAATAGTGCCACACAATTCGGCAGTGCAGGAAGAAGGCAGCAGGATGCCCCAAGGAGGGACAGGCCTGACCTGAGGCCTGGCAGACAGAACAGTTCTAGGAGTCACTTTAAACATTAGCATCATTTAAGATAAAGATCTTCACTCTCCTGTGATCGTGTGGGATCCTGTCATCAGCAGGGACTGGTGGATTAGCTGGCTGCTACTTGTGAAGCTCATTTAATTTCACAGTTTTAATTTGACCAGTTTTAGCAAAAGGTGCATTATACTATCAGTGATGGTGTAGAATGGGAATTCCACATCCTTCCACAAACTAGAAAGGGATAAAAGGCCGTGGCTCTGCACAAGATGCCAGCAGACACCCTAAAGCACTGGGTTGGACAAGGGTCACCTAAGCACAACAACCATCTCCTTACATGAACACCACAGGAAGACTTCGGTGGCCCAAATTTAATATGCTGGTCACAACATTGCTTTTTATGTGACACCCAGAAGATGGCTGATTTTTAACCTGCTCAACGAGTGGCTGTAAGAGGCAGCACATTCTTCTCTTTTATTTCCTCCACAGGAGAGCTCCTATAGCCCACATCCATCTTCCCACACGTTCAGGAGTGACAAAATCCTCTCTCCCTTGCCAATGTGACAGTCAATCCAGGCCGGCAGGGGCAATGGGATCATTTAAACAGGCGGGGGGAGGAGAGCCCAGGACTCTCCTGCCAGCAGCAGGACAGAAGATGGCAGCTTGTCAAACCCCGTGGCGCTGAACGCTGCCAGGCGGGGGGCGTGCGGCCGGCGGCCCTGGCGCTCGCCAGGCAGGGGGAGC